GAGCTGGCTCGGCACCAGCTGACATGATGGCTTGTTTAATCAACGGCGCCGAGAGACGATCGAGTAGTGTCCGAAAGTGGTGTTTCTATTATGCTGGTGAGCTCACTATATAGTGCTCTACTCCCTACCCCCTACATAGGGGTTAGGGAGTAGTGGTTTGAGTGGAGATTTTGGACACAGCCTCTATCGTCATCACCGTCTTGTCACAGGCAAGCTTTCTGGCGGGCTCTGTGGTGCCTGATGTAAGATGAGTGATCCGCACGAACACAAATGCTCTTATCTCGCTGAAATCTTGACGGATTTACAAACGGTTTGGTTTCTTACAAACGTTATTAACGTGGCAATAATTCTGGATGATTATTTATGTATACACTTATTATTCATAAGTATGCAGTGTCATAACTACATCTCTGACGTTTATAACAAACCAAACCGTTTGAAAATCGGAAGAAAATTGAGCAAGTTATGGTTATTTAAAAAGTACATGCAGCATTAAAACACAATGTTACGAGTGAGCGAGCTGCCTGTGGCAAGATGGCCGCCAGTGCGGACGTCGACCTCCATTGGCCAGCAGCGCGGACGAGACATCTAGCCTTTATTATGGATATCTATCTATGCTTACTTCAGCAATACTTTTTTTTTTTTAAATTAAACACAAATGTGATGTTTATCTAAAGTGATTTTTGTTTATTGTGTTGAAGTGGATCACTGAAGGTCAGCAGCAAAGGCATTGGTTAATTAAGTGAGATTAAATACATAAAGTATATTTGTGTCATTTAATTATTGGAGGTTTGCGTAATATTCTGAGATTGCACTTCACTGTTTTTTATTAATTTTGAGTAACACTAAATCTGTTTTTTGAGATGTGATGAGCAAATGGCAGCTAAAACTACAATAAGCATCATGTTTACACAGTGAACACAACGCCTGTGAACGCACGATATCTCTCAACATGGGGACAGAACTGCCACTCAATACATGAAAAAGTTTAAATATTATTTGAAAAAGTAACTCAGATATTTTGTTGTAAATTTAAAATTAATGCGTTACTTTACTAGTGGCTTGAAAAAAAAAGTAATCTGATTACGTTACTCAAGTTACTTATAATGTGTTTGTCCTACACACACACTGACATCACTTCCTTCTGAGCAGAAGACCGACAGTGCTGGAAACACACGGACTCTGTCCTCGGCCACTCAGAAGACGCTGGACAGGAAAGGTCAAAGGTGAGAATCAGCCTGGACATCATCTGATCTGATGACACAACTGACACAGTTTGTTTAAAGTTTTACAGGATTTGAGAACACACTTTCACAACTCCTCTTTTAAAGGGATAGTGCACCCAAAAATAAACATATAATTTACTCACCCTCATTGTGCTCCAAACCTTTGCAAGTTTCATTCAAATTATGAAAGAAAATGAATTTGAATTTGGATTTATTTCAGGATAACCCCTTGAGATGTAACATCTCATTTTCAAGGGGGTCCTGCAACATATATATGTACAGACACAAAGGTTAAACACACAGTACATATACAAAAAAAAACATAAACACAATATAAACACAGACATATGTACAAAACAATAACTCGCTCACCTGCCCTTACCCCACAATTACAATAGCACACATATTAAAGTATATTAACACGTAGTCAGTCAAATGCATTAAACTAGTGCATCATTTATCAATTTGCCTTATGACAAAATGTAGCATGCAGGATAACGTCACATCTCGCAAAGAAATGGAAAAAAAAAATCAAGCTAAAGAAAAAAGACAAAGAAAATCATAATTGTATAGATACTATACAATTACTACATAATTGAAATCATACAGGTTTGGAGTAAACGATGACAGATCTTTAATTTTGGGGTGAACTATCCCTTTAAATCAGTGTCTTATGCCATATATTTGATATAACACACAGGCTATATTTTACATATATAATTATAAAAACAAAATTCACACAAACAGTCTGAGACTAATGAAAATGACGTAAGACTTTACAATAAGGCCCCATTTGTTCATGCATGAATGAGCATTAACCAACAATGTGCACTACATTTGTTACAGTATTTATTAATGTTAGATCATAAAATACAACTGTTCATTGTTAGTTCATGTCAGATCAGGTCTATTATATATATAATAGTAATTTTGAAATTAAGATTAATAAATGCTTTAAAAGTATTTTTCATTGTTAGTTCATGTTAACAAATGAAACTTTAATGCAAAGCGCCACCATAATTCAATAATAATATATTATAATAATTTAATCACCAAAGTTAATAAAAAAAATTCGGTGGATATTATCAGCACAAATTCTTATTTCCAAGCATACATTTTGAATCCTGATGTGCTCTCAGATTATATTTGTAAATAGAATAATATAATTGGAGGAAATACAGCGGCTTATATAAAATAAAATAAAGTGGAAGCTGTCAGTGTGAATGAGCACTTGCAGTTACACACATTTCTTCATTATAATGAGAGCGTCTAAT